CCCTGGCCATGAGCTGGTGGCAGAGGGAGGAGACAGGACCGAAGCCCGTTCCCAGCTCGGGGTTACATTCCAGAACAGTGCAGCACAAACCATGCAAGGAAGGAGCCCTCAGTGGGGAGAGGAAGGAAGACGTGGTGAAGGGAAGTGTTCCCCGGCTGAGGAGCAGGCTTCCACCCTGCTCGGCGCCCTTGCAGCTCTTCCCGCTGAGCACAGAACTCACAGCTGGAAGGGTGCGAAGTGTGCTCAGTGACCGCATCTGCAGCCAGGACCCTGGAGCAGCGACTGACCGTCCGTGCTGCTCCGGGCCACCCACGGAGCTCTGCCCACATCGCCAGCCCTGTGGAAAACGGTGTCCTCGCAAACCCTTGTCTCCACTCCGCACTCCACAAGGAGCCCAGACGCCCCTCCCCGTCAAGCAATGGCAGCGCCCCGCGCCCTGCAGTGGGTGTGCGTGGGTGGAGTGGGGAGTCTCCGCACCCCACAGATGTCAAGCCAGCGGGCAGCCCGAGAACTCGGAGGGCCTGTGACCTGCGCTCTGCCTGCCGAGGGTTCCCGCAGCCGTATCTGAAAGCGGTCCCTTCCCCAGGCGTGTCCCTGTGTCTTCCGCGAGTACAGCCGCTGTCAGTCCTTGGCTTCTGATTTCAAGGTGGTTCGGGCACCGCGCGGTCTTTGCAGCTTCTTCCTGGGCCTTTCCGTCCCCGCAGCCCGGGCTCCCCGCGCCGCGCTCCATGTGTCCACGAGGGGCGACCGGGGGCCTTCTTCTCAGTGGGGCCGAGAAGCGCGGTGCCGGGAGCGTCCCGCGGGCTGGACTTCAGGGCGCGGCCGTCGGGCGCAGGGAGTTGCGGCTGCGGAACCCGGGCCAGGGAGGGGCGCTGCTCCGGCACAGGCTGGCGAGGTCGGGCGGAGCGGCCACGGCGTCCCCTCCTGCCCCTCGCTCCGCCGCGTCCCACCCTCGGGACTCCCGCTCCAGGGCTGCCCTGGCAGCGGGCAGCGGCCGGCCACGGGCTGTGTCCGCTCCTGCGCTCCGCCTCTCGGAAGAAGCCGCGGGGCCCAGGGCGGGGCCGGGCCTCCACTCGCGTCCGACCTCCCGAGCTTGTGAACTTGTACTGCTTCTTCCCGCCGTGTCCTGAGAAGCGACAGCGGCCCGTCACGGCCGCCTCGAAGGTGAGGGGGTCCCGCAAGCCCCAGCCCGACCAGGATGACGTCTAGCCTGGCCGCCGCGCGCTGGAATCCCAACCCCGGGAGGAACTGAATTTGGACCAATCAGGAGGGGATCAAACTTGGACCAATTGGCACACTCGAATTTGAACCAATCTCTAACTTTCACCAATCACAGGCCTGTTGCTCCTATAGAAATGGCGTTGCTCTGTTAATTTCTTAGTATGAGGGCTCCCTCTGCTGGCAGATGTGGTTCCCTGGAGAGCACTGCAGGCTCCATGTAAATCAGCTCACAGGTCCTGTAAGTGTATTTCTAATCTTTACCTTTCAAATCTGAGTACGGTCAACACGGTGTTCACTTGAAAAGAAAGTTATATGCCGGGCGTGGTGATGCACGCCTGTAATACCAGCACTAGGGAGGCTGAGGCAGGAGGATCACTGCAAGTTCAAGACCAGCCTGGGCTACAAAGTGAGCCCCAGGCCAGCCTGAACTACATAGTGAGACCCTGTCTCAAAAAGACAGAGAGGGAGGGGGAGGGGGAGGGGAAGGGAAGGGAGGGGAGGGGGAGGAGAAGGGGAGGGGGAGAAAGAAAGAAAAAGAGCAAGCTAATATCCCCAGATGCTACAGAAAGCCGCAGCTCAGGAGGATCTGGCGCTGGGAATGATGGTGACCGCTGCTGTAACTGGTAATGATGGATGACGTTGTAGCTCAGAACAGTCACAAGAAAGGACAAAGGACATCGGCATGCAAATCCCAGGGCTGCTGGCAGAACTGCACCGGCTGATTCCTAAATGGTATCTGAATCGGCGAAGGTGGCTCCAACTAGCGGTCAACACTGGTAATTACTGCACGGCATTGTGAGGGTGAGCGGAGAGCACCTGGGAGGGGCCTGGGCCGTGTCTGGTGCACAGCAGGTCCTCAACGAGCGTGTGCCACTGCCATGCCCTTCCCAGAAAGGGCACACTTGAGGTCGGGGTCCTGCCGGAGGATGCACTCAGCCCGAGCCTGTGCCCGGCTGCACGTCCCGTGGTGTGTGTGTGCGCGCGCATATGGGCACTTCCCCTGCCACGGGAAAGCCTCACGCTGTCCAGGTGGAAGAGGATCCTTGTCCTCAGGGGCTGTCACATGACAATAATGCTTGGTAGATGTGCCTGAGTCTGACAACATAATGCCCAGCTACTTCCTTCGGAGCAAAAATCTGCAGGAAGCAGCAGCATCCTATGCCTGTATTATCAAGGGAGAGGGCTTTTGCCTGTTTCATTTCATTAACCACGTCTTCCCCCACCCTTGGTTTCCTGGGGGGTTATTGTTTGGTTGGTTGGTTTTCTGAGACTGGGTCTCACTGTGTTGTCTAGGCTGGCCTTGAATTCACTATGCAGCTCAGGCTGGCCTCAAACTTCCAGCAATCCTCCTGCCTCAGCCTCCCGAGTGCTGGGATCACAGGGGTGTGCCACCATACCCGGCTAACTGGTCTTTGACAGAGGGCTTAGCCCCCTTGATCCTGGGTCTCTGCTGGTTTCAAATGGGCCAACACCTGCCCTGTGTGCCCTCCATGGGAGCCCTGGAATGAGGGTGTGGACGGGGTCAGAACATCCCAGGGATAGGGGCTGGGGATTTAGCTCCGAGGCACAGCGCCTGCCTGGTAAGCATGACGTCTTGAGTTCAATTCCCAGTACCGGAAAAAAAAAAAAAGGACATCCCAGGGCTGAGAGGCAGAAAAAGACAAAGGCTCCCTGGAGACCCCCACATGGAGCTGGCAGTGCCACCATGCAGGGGCAAGGACAGAAACCAGCTGGAGCCAGCGCTGGGGAGGGCTTTGGGGCAGGCTGATGGGGGAGGAGCCCTAGCTCTCAAGCTTTCATTCTTTTCTAATTATCTTTCATTCTCAAAGCCAATTGGATTATATTCATACTGAAGTCATCCGCTCTTTTTGCTTTTTATTTTTTATGATTTTTTTTTTAATTTGAAGACAGATGTGACTGTGTAGCCCAGGTTAGGCTCAGACTTGCAGTCTGCCTCCCTCAGCCTCCTGAGTGACTGGGATTACAGGTGGGCCCAGCTACATGCAGATGATGATGATGATGATGATGATGATTTTATCATTATTTTTGCCAACACTGAGGCTTGAACCTGAGGTCTTTGCACTGAGCTCCATCTGCAGCCCTTTAATGTTTCTTTGGACACAGGGTCTCAGTAGTCTGATTTTTCCAAGCTGGGCTGGAGCGTGTGACCCTCCTGCCCTGGCTTCTAGGGTGCTGGCTGACAGGCGTGCGCCTCCGTTCCCAGTACTTCTAGCTTGGCACACCTGTGAGGTGATGATGAGCCCGCAGACTTGCCAGGACCTGGGCCTGTCAGCCCCGCCAGGGCCGACACCCTCTTGTAGAGTCAGACGTGGTGGCGCACGCCTGTAATCCCAGCACTTGGGAGGCTGAGGCAGGAGGCTCACTGAGGATTTGAGGCCAGGCTGGGCTACATAGTGAGACCCTCTCTCAAAGAAACAAAAGAAAAACTAAAAGTAATACAATAACTTCAGAGGGGTTGGATTCTCCTGGGGGAGGGATTGTGGATCTCAGGTAAGAGCTTGGATTCAAGGTCGGGAGCAGATGCAGAACCAGGAGCTGTCAGAGCACCTCAGTGAACCCAGCACTTCCCAGGCCTGTTTAGGGGGTGCCGTGCCCTTCTGGCCTGACATGTGAGAGACAACAGACAGGGAGGAACAGTTTGCCAGGGGTCTGCAAAAGTCAGTGGGATGGCTAGACCGGCCCGGTCCCCAGCCGCCTTGGTCCCTGCTGTCCACACCAGCCCTTCCCCTCAGAACGCATCACACCCATTCTCTCTGCTGCCTGACATGGCCTGCAGAGCCCAGGCAGAGCCGGAAGCTGGGGCTCACACGGGGGCGCCAGTGAGCCTGGTGCCATGAAGGCCCAGCACTGCTGCTGGTGTCCGCGCTGCCCTGCCGGCAGGAAGGACCTGGGCTGTGCGCCTTCGGACCATAATGGTCCTGGAGCCCTCGTCCTTTCCTGCAAGCCAAGCCTCAGCACGGAGAGGCGCAGGGGCGCGGCCCCGGGTCCCCAGGGCCAGGAGGGTAACCTGGGGCCGGGGGTTTACCAGCCCCCAGTGCTTTTCCAGGGGAGGCTGTGAGGCAAGACCTCTTCCGAGCAGGAGGGGCCCTCCGCGAGAGCAGCGCCTCCCGGTGGCTGAGAGCAGACGGCCGACCTCCCACCCTCAGCCCAAAGCCTGCGAGGTGCACAGTGGCTGCTGTCCTGCCCGCATCCGCACGCCGCCCAGGCCTCTTCCACCCTCCGGGACCCGGCTCTCAGAACCCTGCCCTGAGCTTCCCGGGGACGACCATGTCCCCTTGTGTCCCTGCGGAGCGCTGGGCAGTGACATTGCCGCCCACGCCGCACAGTTCCGAGCTTCCTCCTCTGGCCTGAGAGCTCTTGGAGGGTGGAGCCCCTGCAGGACTTCTGTGAACTTCTGCGGCTTGGCCTCAGCGAGGCACCGAGAAGATGAGGTCAGGCCGGCCTTCCTCGGCAGGCTGAGGAGAGACCCGAGAATTACAGCCGCCCGTGGCCCCTGCTCACCCTGCCCAGCCTCCTTCCCTGCCACGGGAGGGGCGATCTCGGGTGTGTGGTGGGTTGGGGGGATGCAGGGACGCTTGTCTCTCCCTGGTGCAGAGCAGCGCGACGGGAGGGAGGGAGCAGACACAGGGCCTGATGTCCGTCTTCCTGGCTGTGGCCCTGGGCCGGTTACTCTGCACTCTGCCTGGATCCTGTGTTGGTCGGTTCCCGGAAGAGGTCCTGGGACAAAGGCCTGTGTGCAGGTGACATTACGAAAGTGGCCTCGGCAGAAGCCACACAGCAGAGAAGGAAGCGGCGTGGGAGGGGTCCAGCCCCACCCAGCCATGCAGGTGAGCTGGCCTCCATCGCCCCACCTGCGGCAGGAGCAGCCGTCCACCAAGGGCTGCAGCGGGCACTTCCGGGCCTGCTCTTCCGGCCTCTAAACCCTGCAGGGGCAGCCACAGATGCGGGGAGCACCGAAGGGAAGGAGCGGCCCAGGGCCCTGGGTCTGCTGCCCTCGGCTCTGCAGCAGAACGGGGAGGCTGAACACCACTTAGGTGTTAGATGTCAGGACAGCCAGGGCAAAACCTAGCTCAGAACCTGGCCGCACTGTCCGCCAGGAATGTCGCCTGCCTTGAGCTCCCTGCCATGTTACAGGCGCTCAATAAATATTTGTTGAATGGATGAAGCAGCCTCCCAGCTGGTTAAACCGGGTTCTCGGTGCCCGCCCCTTGGCCGCCCAAACTAGATCAAAGTCTCTTTGTGTCTGGGCTGGCTGTGAGGATCACAGCAGGGCCCAGCCAGGCAGGGGTGGGCTTGCGTGTGTGGTGCGTCCAGGCCACCACCCTGGAGCCCTGGGATCTTCCCCGAGGGGCCGTGGCTGGGTCACCGCGGTCACTGTCCTGGCCCCCGCCACACTCGCCATGAACCGCACACTCTGCTGCCTGTGGCCGCAGCTGTCCTGCTCATCAGGCACCCACTATGTGCTGGACACCCTCCTAGGTGCCGGGAACAGCCCCGGAAGCAGAGGGCTGCCCTGGCCCCCCTCGGACAGAGGGCAGGACAGCACCGCGGTGAGTAGAAAGCTCTGGAGGGGCCTCAGCAGAGCGCAGGGGCAGCGACACGGAGCGGGAGCTGGTTGTGTTTTGTGTTTATTTTTAAACAGGGGTTTGCAGAAGGCCGCAGACACTGTATGGAGAGGTCCTCGGTCCATCATAGGTGGCTGTCGCACATACCAGAGCCAGGACAGGGCCGTCTGCGGCGTGCGTGCCTGGTCTCAGTGGCATTTGATTTCCACTGTCGCACGTGGCCACCACCCCCATCAAGACGCGGACGTGATCGGTCAGCACGTGGGCCTCCCCGCTCTGCGCCTCCGTCCGCACACCCTCCGTCCCTCAGCTCGACAGCACCAGTCTGCAGTTCCGTCATGGCGACGAGCACTGCAGTGTGTGACCTTCCAAGACTCAGAACCCCTTCACCCGGGTCTCCAGGTCCCTGCCCTGTCGCTCCCTCTCTCCCCATGCCCCACCTCCTTCCTTTACCTCTAAAACTTTCAGGGTGCATTTCCCAAACCCAGGGCCTCCTTTTACATAACTGGGGTGCAATGACCAGGGCAGGGAGCCACACTGACCCAGGACTGTCAACCCCGGATCGTTTTCTGTCCACCGCCTGTCCCTCCAATGCCCTTTATGGCTGGAGACAAAGGCGCTCTCTTCTGGCCCAGGATCAGGCCCTGGGTGACAAGGTGTCCTTGATGGCGGTGGATCTGGAGCATTCCACAGTCTTCCTCGTTCCTGACGGGGACACTTTTAAAGACATGAGCCATTCTTCTCCCGGACACCCCTCTCTGGGCGTGGTGTCTCCAGCAGTGAGATTCCTGCTTACTTTACGGCGGGAACACCCCTGCAGTGACACCTGGGTCATACCAGGGATATGAATGCCACTTGCCCCCTGCTAGTGACAGCTGTGTGGCTCTCCTGGTGAAGTGGGCGCCTCCCAACTGTCTCCACTGTGAAGCGACTGTTTTCCCCTTGTAATGAGAGAGTATTTGTGGGCGCAACCTTGGCACCCTTCCAAGTAGCCTTCTTGTTGCACTTTCACCTGCCTCACAGCCACAGAACTTTTTATTGGCCCCGTAGTGACCCGGAGGGACGAATGCACGCACGATGCCGGTCTCAAACCACAAGTGAGCGGCTCGGGCAGCAGAGTGCGCAGGGAATGGGGTGCTCCCCCCGGGAGGGACCCTGCGCCCAGGCCTGGAGGAAGGGCAGATGGGCCGCAGCGAGCTGGGGGAGCCTAGGAGGCTGAGGGACCCACAGTGCGAGGCTGGAGCAGGACCAAGCCTGGCTGAGACAGGGGCAGGGCTGCCGGGGACCCGGAGGGCAGGGGCGCGCGTCGGGTCCGTGCCTGGGAAGCAGCTCCCTGGCTCTGTAGCTCCAGCACAGGGGAGGGGACTCACAGGGGGGGCATTGTGATACTGCCAGGTGGTCAGCGGCCCTGGGGAGAAGATGGAAACATGCACCTGGCTGCCCCGAGGCTGAGGAGGCCGGCGCTGCTCCATGAATAGACAGGGTGTGGGGGTCCAGGGTGCCGGGGTTTGGTCCCGGGGAGAAGCTCAGTGTGTAGCAGCAGCCTCAGGGAGGGCCAGACCCAGGCGGGCAGCAAAGGCCTCTGCTGTAGGAAGCCCCAGGGCGTGAACAGGAGAGGACGTGCTTGGTCTCCTCCCTGCGGAGCCACCGAGGCTGTGACAGTGCAGGACGGGGCCAGGATGAGCCGTTCTCTGTCCCTCGCTTGGAGGGGCTCTGAGGTCTCGGCTGCGGAGAGCTGAGGCTGGGGCATCCCGCAGGGACCCAGCCAGGCGCTGTTCCGACCCTCACTCCGGGAGCGAGCGGGTGCCTTCCCTCGGGCACAGCCCAGCTGGTGCCATCTGCTCAAGGCATCGTCCTGCGGTGAGGGCCTGTGCCCTCTGTCCCAGCGCCAGCCACGGCCAGACACTGCCCTCTGTGCAGGCGCCCGGCTGATCTTCGGTCTCAGTCACTCATTCATTTTCCGTTCAACAAATACTTATTCAGTGCCTGCTTTCCAGCCATCTCTAGGGAGAGAAAACATCGATCTTGTCAGTGTAAACTGATACCACCATGATGGAAATCAGCATGCAGATTCCTCAAAACGTGAAAACTAGAAATTCGGCTTGGTCCATCTGTTCCCCCCTCGGTATTTTCCCAAGACTTAAAGACATCGTATCACAGCGACCCAAGCACACCCATATTTAAAGCAGCACAATTCACAGTAGCTAAATCTTGGCAGTGGCCTGTATATCCATCAACAGGGGAATGAATAAAGAAAACGCGGTTTTACACCAACAGAGCACTATCTGCCCTAAAGAGGGACCAACTTGGGCCAGCTGTAGGGAAATGGATGTACCCCGAGACCAAGTGAGATTATGCCAAACACAAGGGCTTACATATCGCATGGTTTCTCTTACAGGAGAAACTCAATGTAACTGGCGTGGTGGCGCACGCCTGTAATCCCAGCACTTGGGAGGCTGAGGCAGGACGATTGTTGTGAGTTCGAGACCAGCCTGGGCTACAAAGTGAGCTCAAGGCCAGCCTGAACTACATAGCGAGACCCGGACTCAAAATGCCAAAAAAAAAAAAAAAAGGAAATAAACTCAATGTATAAATAAAGTGCAAAATAACAGACAATCAGAAAACAAAAAGAAAGAAGTGATCTGATCCAGCATGGCCAATGTATCTAAAAGCATACATTGATTTAGTAAAATTGACTTACATGTTTTATATTTTTTTGCCCGTTTAGCCATTGATCTGTGTTTATGATAATTAAATTGATAAGGATTTACCAAATAAATGAATCTGATGCTGGCAAAAAAAAATTTTTTAGGGGGGGTGTGAAGTGGAACGAGCAAAAAAGAATTGACATGTGTTATGTACATTACCAATTCTCCACAATGAATGTAAACATTATGTACTGAAAACGTGCAATAGTAAAATAAATAAAAACTGACCTTTTTTACCCAAGCCACGCAACTTGGTGAGTTTTAGTGCTCTCACAAGGTGGCGCCAACATGAGCATTGGGCAGTTCCAGAACATTCTCCGCACCCAGACTGTTCAAGACAAGAGTCCCCATGTGCCCGCCCCGCTCCCAGCCCCAGGCAGCTCTGGGTTTGCCCCCCTCTGCACTTGCCCGTGCAGGACAGTTCCTGGAAGGGGAACCACAGCCCCGTGGGGCGCCGCTCATGTCTCTCCTAGTGCGACCCCTCTAGGGCCCATCGGTGCTGGGCCGTGTGGGGGCCTCAGTGCTGTCCAAGGCTGGGGCAGCCCGCTCCATGGACAGACCACAGTCTCTCTCTCTGCCGATGGACACCTGGCTTTGGTACACAGTGCCTTCTTTGACACTAGCAGCTCTATTAAAGTGCCACCAGCTTCTCAGAAGCCACAGGGACAGTCACTTGGTCCCGGGGAGCAGGAGGCTCGGCCCTCCAGTTCCACCCATGCCTGAAGGGGAACCCAAGTTGGGGGTACAGGGTGTATGTGGCTGGGCCACCTCTTCCCCCATCTTTTGGCTCCTCCTCCCCCTCCCTTGGCATGTGCCTGTGTCCCGCATCATCAACTGGCCTCTTCGCTGTCCTGCAGGGACCCCGTCATCGGAGTCCAGACGGTGCCCCTAATCCAGCACGGCTTCACCCCGAGACCCTGAACATAATGACATCTGCAAAGACTTTGTTCCAAACGCAGCCGCAGTCACTGTGTGCAGGGGTTAGGACAGGACGTATCTTCACGGGGCGGGGCGGGCACTGCTCAGCCGCCTCCTGGCTGCCTGGAATTGTGTCACGCCTGGACTCGCTGCAGCCTGTCCCACCCAGTGGGAGACCAGACACGGAGGGCAGGAGGACACAGCTCCCCTTCGCAGTCTGTCTCCACATGCGGGGGCTTTAAAAGAATTTCTTGGATGAATGGATTTGTTTTACCTGCTGTGTGCTCATGTCTGCATCTATAAAGTGTCTTAGCCCTGGTGTACACAGCTATTAACAGACAACTGAGGGTTTATGGGAGAGGTCATAACTTCACACTGATTCCTAAGTATTTACATGAGTCCAGGCTACACCCTTGGACCGAGCTCCCTCTCTGCAAAGGGCACCTCCAGTGCCAGCCCTCTTCGTGAGGTCAACACCGGTTGCTTTCAGGAGCCCGGGAGACGAGCACCTGCCTGGAGGTAATGTACAGGTGATGAAATGAGCGTGGGAGGGAGGTGACCAGCAGGACCACATTCATCGCTCCGGGTGTAGACATTTCCGGAAAGGCTGGCTGCTCCTGGCCGGCTCCCGCCCTTGACTTTCCTTCCTAGCCTAGGTGTCAAGGTCGCCCTCAGAGCTGCAGCCCTCAGCGAGGCCGGCCGCCAGCTGTCTCTGCTGTGAGCTTCCCCGAGAGTGGGCTCCCGACTCTCCAGGCTACAGGCAGAAAAACAAGCAAAAAAACTCGCTAAGGGGAAACAAAACAACACAAAACAAAACATCTCGAAGTCACTGGTGATGACTATGGAATCCAAACCTACTGACAAGGACACTGAAAACAGGGCTGGAGATGCGGCTTGGTGGTAGAGCTCTCGCCTTGCGTGCACAAGACCCTGGGTTTGATCCCCAGCACCACACACACCAGAAAAAAGACACTAAAAGCAAACGTAAACAGCAAGGATAGCTGGGGGCGTTAAGGATAATCAAAGATGAAAACAAGTGGAACAGTGCTTGCATCAGAGGCACAGAAGTAAAACACGAAAGGGGTTGCTTTCGCGTTTTGCTTCTGTGGAGGGGCCAGGCAGATAACTGAGTTGTGTAACACACGAAGAAATATCCTACACACACGAGGAAGAAGCGGACAGGAAGTGACTTACTGTGTCGGATGCAGCAGTCACAAACAAGCAAGCACATCCCTGCGAAACCAGAAAGTTTGACTGAACAGAGAATTTGTTTACAGAGAACACTGGGGCTTTTCTAGGGCCCTTGAAATATTTATAAAAATGCTGTACAAACTGGTCGTAAAGGCTCAGTACATTAAGAAATCTTAGCAGACGTGTGTACCGGCTACATTTTCTAACTGCCATGCAAATGAAACTTTAAACAAGTTGACCCCAAAGGTGCCCATCCAGGAGCTTCCAGTCCCAAAGCTGGGCTCTAACCTCTCTCTCTGTGGCCTACTCCAGTTCGGTTTGGTTTGCACCCAAAAGTTCCGGCGCTGCGCATTTCTCTGAACGCCCTGACATCCTCTGATGGTCTGTGACTCCCAGAGGTGACGGCTGTGGGCTGGCTGGCGCAGGGACGTGCTGATGGGGTTCTGGAGGCGGGGCTGTGAGCCGAAGGCCCGGGTGCTGTGGCTGCCAGGCCTGGGCGCCCTGCCTGGAGAGAGGTCCCTGGTCCACACCCTTGAGAAGCGTCAGGGGCTGCGTGACACGGTGTCCTTCCCTGGATCCAACTCGAGCTCAGGGCCGCTGGGTCCACAGTGTGCCAACACTAGCTCATCCTCCCAGTGCTCGGTACACAGCGGCTCCCTGGCCCTCCCGCTTACCCTAAAGTTCCCGGTCCCATGCGGCTGCCTTATCTCTCGGTGTCAACTCTCAAGCCTGGCATGACAGCAACTTCTCCCTAATGCTACACTGGGGTTGCGGCCTGGCCGCTTTCCTTTTCCCTGCATCCCACCCACCTTCTCAAGTCTGTTTCTCCACCCTTGACCCCGTGTTGGGCCTGGCAGGCTGGGCAGCATGGTCCAGGCCCTCCTAGGGCAGTGACAGCAAACTTTTTAGAGCATTCAGTGATGCAAACAGCCCGCTGGGGCACATGTGCCAGGGGTTCACCACCACTGTTCTAAGGGAAGACGTAGGGAAGACCCGAAGGGCCGAAGAACTGGCCATCTGGTTGGGCGGGGTGGGATGGCCAGCCTCTGGGGAGCAGCTGAGGTGGCTGGCAGGAGCAGCTCAGTGCTGTGGACACATCTGCTCGCTCCCGCCTGTGGCCCATAAATCCCTTCCGTTGGCAGCCGAGGGCACTCAGGGCAACAGAGGGCACCGCCTTCCTCCTCCTGAGTGCTGTCCTTGTGAATTCCGGTCCAACCTGCAGCCCAAACCCTTCCGCCTTCCAGGGCACCTGCACAGCGCCCACGGCGTCCACACCTCGGTTCTCTCTCAGCTCTGAGCGGATGCTGATGGGAACATGCTCTCTGCCCACCCCTGTCCCAGCGGCCATGCCACCCACTGGCCCTCCATTTCACCAGGAAGGAGGTTCTGTCTGGCTGCCCACTCGATAGCAGTAAATCAAGTCTCAGAAAACCTAAGCAGCAGGCGGAGGCCCCACCGCCAGTGGCATGGGGACCTTTCTGCAGTGGGAACAGGGCCCTGAGGTCACCCAGGACCCCAGGCTCTTCTGCTGACTCTGGGCTTCGTGCCCAGGCCCGAGGTGAGGTCTCAGCCCTCTGCTCGGCTCCATGCACGGGGGAGGAAGACAGTCCAGAGGGGCCCTGCCTAGAACCACCCAGCTGCAGGTAGGAGGCTGGCTCAGCCCACAGGTTAGCACCGACCTCACCTGGCTCCTGGAGCCTTAGGAGCTGGTGAAACCCCAGCTTGCTGAGCACCCACACCCTGTGGCTCAGGCGGGTGGGTCTGGGAAGCATTTTAACAAGCGCTGGCTCCGCCTCCCCCGCCCCCCAGGTGATTCCTAGGATCTGGCAAGTTTAGGAGCCAGTCCAGGCTCTGAGACTGTGCACCCTCTCCCAGGGGCCTCCATTGGCCACCGCTGCTGTCCCCACAGGCGCTGGGTGCCCCTCCAGCTGGCCAGGTAGAACGAGGCCAGGTGCAAGCAGCACCGCCCACCCGTGTGCCCTGCCCAGGGGCGGGGCCTCAGACGCGGCAGGCAGGCAAGTAGGCGGTCACCCGGTCACCTGGGCCGGCTGCAGGCTGGGGCGTGCGCTGCCAGCCGCAGCCTCAGTAGGGGCTGGAGGGCCACACAAGGCGGCCGCCGCTGGCAGGACCCGAGGCCACGGGGGCCAGTGGTCGCTGCTCACCATGGGAGAGAGACGCTTCAGCTTCCTAAAGAAACTCGCCTTCTTGGGCCAGGGCCCCCAGTACCAGGCACTCCAGAGAGAGGACGAGGAGACCTTGGTGAGTCTGGCGACCCATGCGGGCATGCAACCTGACCCCACCTGGGCCTCGGTTCCCCAGCCCGCTTCGTGGCCACACAGCTCAACTCTGCCTGGTCTTGGGGCTCCCAGGGACCCTCACCCTGCAGCGGGCTCTGCAGCTGAGGACCTGAGGTTCTCACCCACGTTCCCTAAGGGGCTCAGAGCTACCGAGGGACCTCCCCTAGCCCGACTCCAAAGCATTTACATTCCCACGTCCTCAACCCACCTGCTCTGTGGAGTTTTACAAGCAACTGGAATTGGGAGAAAAACTAGAGCAATGTAGGGGGAAGAAAAAGCCCAAGTGATGAGCCATAGCCGTGGAAGTCACAGTGACCCCGGGGCGCGGGTCCCTAGCCTGGCTTCCTCTGTCCCCGGTGCACTTTAAAACCCATGCCAAGCTGTCTGTTGACTTGGAACCTCCAGGGGACCCTCTGGGAGCAGCCAGCGGAGGGGGATTCCAGGGCAAAACTTCTCAGGGGACCCGTGGGCAAAGCTGTTCAAAGCCAGCCCTGTGCCTGCTTCTGGCAGCAGGGTGCCGGGTGCGGCGGGGTGAAGGTAACTCTAAGCCATGACGAAGGGCAGGGGCTCTAGGTTTCTGGGGACGTGCCCGGCGAGCACAGTGCCTGTCAGTGCTCACCCTCTGGACAGACTCCCGGGTTTGCTCACCGAGCCAGGGCCTGCAGCAGCCTTTTCACCAGCGAGGCAAACCTCGAGGTGAAATTTATTTTTAATGAAAAGTCAGCCGAAAGGTACACAGCATTGTACTGTTTTTCTCCCAAAGACTGCCAATGGTCAAAACACTTCGGCTGTATGATTCCTAAGCACCTGTGCGTGCGCATTTAGGAGGAGGACTTTGTACGCGGTGTCGAGGTGGGCGTGCTGGCGCTGGGGCCGTGCGCTGTGGAATTGTGTGACTGGCGGTCTCTGAAATCCATCCATCACGGGAATGTGAAGCTGGTTTTCCAACGCAGCCTCCTTTTCCTGGTTGGCTGTGACTTTTCCTCACCAGGTCTTGCCTTTCGCCTCGGGGTGGTGTTTTTCAAGCACTCCTGAGAGGGGTGCCGGTCGGGCTTTCTAGGGTGTGCAGGTGGGCAGGCCGGTGTCCCCGAGTGAGGCAATGGGGCAGGTCACTCTCTGTGCCAGGTGCACTGCGTTCCCGCCGCGCTGTGCGGGTGGCCCTTAGCTCCGCTCCGCTCGCACTCGCCCTGAATCCAGCTGCCCGTGCAGCACCCTGGAGGCTGTGAACCTCGCGGCATGGGACACTTGGGCCACGTGAATCCCGGGGAAGCTGTGATGCCCGCAGGTGGCAGAGGCCCGCAGAGAGACGGGGCGCTGTCTGCATGGGCGGCCGTGCACAGGCAGGAAGCTGCATGTGGTGCAGGGGAGTCAGGAGAGTGGGGGGCAACCGCCGCTGAGCGAGGCCCCTGCCCCTCCGGTCGGCTCACCCCAGGGCCTCTCCTGAGCTCTCGTACCTGCAATCTCTGACTCGAACTTTCTCTCAGGAGAGTTTGGAACAATGTTAGCTGAGGTGATTACTTCGGCAATCACTGTCACCCCCTTTTATGAGTGCTTGTGTGCGCCCCATCCTGGATCCGGGGACGGCCCCGAGCAGGGTTAGCCAGGCTGTACCCGGACCGACTCCTAAGCTGCGCTGGGCACCCTGGGAGGAGAGGGGCCCAGGTGAGCTTGGTTGCGTCCTGGTCAGAGGGGCGCTGAGGCTCACAGATGGGCTGGTTCCCCCATCCCAGTGCTGACAGCAGCAGCCGGAGTGTGCCAGGCCCCCAGGACGCAGGGTGCACAGGGCAGAGGTGGGGCAGAGCACAGCAGTCCACAGAGAAGCCGAGGGGCGTTGGGTTTGCGAGCCCGTGCCCTCAGGGGGGATGCAGAGTAAAGGAGCGGGCCGATGCGGACAGGAGCAGAGCTGGGGAGGCCCACGCTGGAGGCACCGGAGCCCGAGCTCGGGCAGAGCCTCAGGGCCTGAGGAGGGTTTGTTGGGCTGCCTTGCCAGGGGACTGAGAAGCAGGCTGCTCAAGAGCCTTAGTTTTGTTAGTAGATAACAAAACCCTCTGGTGCTCTGAGCATTAAGGGGAGAAGCACACTGGGCCAGAAACCCCTGCTTCCTGAAGGCTCGGTGTGCATGCGGGAGCCTCTCTGCCCGCCACAGGGAGCCCTGGACTGCAGACGGATCGCCAGGCACCGGAGCAACAGGGCAGGCCCTGGAGGGAGAAGTGGTGTGGAGCCGAACAGCACCGCAAAGAGCAGTGAGGGGCGGGAGGACAGAGTCCCGGGCCGAGAACGTGAGGTGCGGGGCCGGCGCGAGAGGGACTCGCTGCAAGGTCAGGGGGCACCTGGGCCTTCTCCCCAGAGCAATGGGGACCCTGCAGGGGTCCTGACAGGACAGTCGTCCACTTCTTCACAGATGTGCCAGGCAGTAGGACCGCGGTCGGCAAGCGTCACGATCAGATTTGTGTTCTGACCGCACTTAGCTCCAGGAGGAGGGGGTTGGAGACACGGAGCTTAGCCTGCAGCCTGCCCCACTCAGCCTTGTCCACAGTGCTTCGGGGGATGGTCCCCCAGCATGGTCTTCAGTGAGCATAAAACTTGCCAGAAAATAACTATGCACTGGTAACAACCACGCAAATGAAGTTTGTACTAACATTACACGGGGGATCGCTGTGAGTTTGAGGCCAGCCTGAGCTGCACAGTGATTTTAAGGACATCCTGAACTCCATAGGGAGGCACTGTCTCAAAAAGCCGAAATATATTCTATACGTATGTATATGAAATAGTATATAAAATACAAAGGTAGCATTATTTGGGTGTCACTCATGTTCTCTGAAAACGCAATCAGGGGCCCTGAGTGGTTACGTTGGTTGCCTGTTGCTGGGTAACAATGCTCCAAAATGACACAGCTCATTATAACAAATGTTTATCTGCTGATGGTTTCGGTGGCCCTGGAGTCCGGCTGCGGCAAGCTCAGGGTCCTGGGTCAGGGTCTCAGGAGGCTGCAGTGCCTGGGCCTGGGTCTCTCCTGCCAGGTGGCAGTTTGCAGGCCTGGCGCCGGGGCCACGTGTTGACCCCTCAGGTAGACAACGGCGGAGACAGAGAGGGCACCCGGAGAAAGACCGGAAGCACAGCCTCTTGAGCCTCAGCTCGGGCCTAGAGGCTCATATTCCTGCCTCGCGTGTTCACTGAGGGGCCAGTCCCCTCCACAGGAGGGGATTCTGCAGGGGCTGCTTTGGGGCCCCTCCACCATGACAGAAGTACTTCTTCAAATGACGTTAGTCACCTTGCAAAACTCAGTTACACCCGATATGCAGTCCGCTCTGTGGTTAATCCAATTTTGTTAGCATTTCCATCGGGCTCTGTTATTAGGATGTTTTGAGTTTTAGGTTTTTTTTTTTTTGCATCTATGTAAAGTTTACAAAGGTGGAAAATTCATGTACACACAAATGGAATTTTTAGAAAATCATAAAGATGTAAAGATTTAGGTTAGTGGGATTATAGACAGTATTTCTTCCATAAAATCTTTTTTATGATTACTGGTTTTTTGTTTTGGGGGTTTTTTTTAAATATTTTTTTAATTTTTATTTTTAAAGATAAAGAACAAAAACACATTAACAAACGAACAGACATAAACACAACAGCACCCAAACAATAGAAGCAATACAGAATTTGCTTGGTGACAGGAAATTAACAATAGTTATAATAGTTATTGGATTACATACTGTTATCTTCAAACTGGTTACTCAGTTAAACAAATATAGGCATGTATTTTTATGATTATTGTAATGTCCTATGGTAACCGTAGAAACTACAGTACACTCACAGGGTACTTCAAATGCTGTTTCCAAAGTGAGAACAGGTTTGCTATTTTCATATATTACATAATGAGTGGGTTGGTGTGTCTTTTTCTTTTTTTTGAGACAGAGTCTCACTATGTAGTTCAGGTTGTCCTTGAACATACTGGGTAGCCCAGGCTGGCCTCGAACTCATGGAAATCCTCCTGCCTCAGCCGCAGCCTCAGCCTCAGCCTCTCAAGCGCAGGATATAGGCATGCCCCCCGATGCCCGGCAGCAAGTCTTATTTTAAAACTGCAGAATCTTCAGCCATCTCACCCCCCACGTACAATTGCTCCACCCTCTTCTCCCCAAAAGGCTTTTGGTCCTCCCTCCCCATGGATTTTATCAGCTAGGCCTTTATTATCTCGTGTGTCCGGGAAGCTCCTGGTTGCGGGTCTTTTTTTTAATTAGTCCATGTTTGCTGTACATAATGTTTTCATTTCTTCTGTGGAGTCAGTACATGTATACAGCGCATTTAATTGCTTTATTCACCCCCTTCCCTCCCCTCCTTTCCCTCTTCCCCATGTCTTGATGCCTTTTGAGAAAGATCTACTCCCCATTTCCTATTATTTATCTTTTATTTTGCTCTTAATTTGTACTTTGGGTTTCTCATATAAGAGAAACCTTGCATCTGGGCATGGTGGCACACGCCTATAATCCCAGCACTCGGGAGGCTGAGGCAGAAGGATCGTGGTGAGTTCGAGGCCAGCCTGGGCTACAAAATGGATTCAAGTTCAGCCTGAACTGCATAGCGAGACCCTGTCTCAAAAAGACAAAAAAAAAAGAACAGAGAAACCTTGCAATGTTGAAGTGTGTGTGTCTGATTTATTTTACTTAACATTTGGTCTCAAGGTGCATCTATTTTCCTACAAATAACTCACATTTATCCCCTTTGTGGCAGAGTAGTACTTTTTTTTTTTTTTTTTTTGGTACTGGGAATCGAACTCAGGACCTTGCCCTTGGCAGGCAGGTGCCTGTGCCTGTGAGCTATGTCCCCGGCCCTCCAGTGTGTATAAATGCCACATTTTCTTTATCTACTCACCTGCTGATGGACGTGTAGGCCACTCCCACGATTTACCTGCTATGAGTTGTGCTACTATTCGAGGTTTGAGTTCGGTGATGCTCCCTGTCGCTGAGG